TTATTATAAGGAACTTATAGTACTATTTCCAAGTTTTTGTTAATTTTGTTTGTTTTGATGATCTACGAGAAAGAGTTGGATTAAATTTTTTTGAATAACAAGGTTTTTTTGTTTCTTGGATTTTTTGAAAAATCTTTATAGATAAGTGGGTGTTTTATTTTAAAATGACTTGTTACTGTTGAAATTGATGTGCCTTTCACTTATTTATTGTCGCATATCTTGCAAAGCTTAAATGTTTTAGAATCGTCACTAAGCTCATTAAGATATTCATAAACTGGCGAAACTTTTCTTTTTTTTGATTATGTTTTTTTAGAATTATTAGGTCGGATTAGCTTTTCAGCTTCTTGTGAAGTACGTTGGATATCTTCGTCAGAAGAAACAGTAATAACGTAAGGTGTTGTGGTCATAGTGAAGAATTAAAATTTAGAATGTGTTATTGAAAGTTTGAGTTTGATAAGATTTATGAATTAGAAAGAGAATATAAGTAGTCTTATATAATTAATATTTTTAATTTTGATAATGTATTATTTAAAAATTATTTTATTATTTTATTTTATTAAAAATTTAATCAGGTTTACATTTAAATGAAAGTTTTGTATAGACATATTAGATATATCTAAAATTATCTAAGTATACAGTTTTATAATTAATCTAAAAACATGCTATTATTACTAATAATACTATTTAGTTATCTTTTCTTAATTAATATTAGAATTTACACTTTGAAAATGGCCAGCATGCAATTATTAGGAATTCTTGTTGATACGAATATGACCAGCATGCAATTATTAGGAATTTTTGTTAATACAAATATGGCCAACATGTAATTGTTAGGAATTCTTGTTAATACGAATACGGCCAACATGGAATTTTTGTTAATACAAATATAGGAATTCAATAATCAATAAACCCAACATGCAAATGGATCTTAATATAGCAATAGTAATAATTGTCAAGGATTTCTGTACTACATTATAGAAAATACTTTCCAACTATTTAAAGACCTATTAATGCGATTTAATAGAATTTTGTAATACTTTATTAGAAATTGGTATAATATACCTTTCAAACTTTATTTACAATTGACTTTTTAATAATTGTATATTGTTAGGTATATTATAACAAGTTTTAATGAAGTAAAAAAAATTTTAAACATAAATCAATAAAAGTAGAAAATATAATACTATATTTTTAATAATTATAATAGTAAAAAGTAATGCATATAGCCTAATTATGTTTTATAACAAGTGTTATATTAATTGTTTAAAGTTTCTGTTCTATCGAATTGTTTTTTTATCAAAAAAGAATTACTTTGATTTAATTGAAATAAATCAAGTTTCAGTAAAATAAAAACTAAGTTCAAAAATTCCTATTGTGAACCCAAAAAAGCATTAATTTGATTTGTCAGCAAATCACAACGTTATAATATTATGTGATTGCTGAAGTTGACTTGGGATTGACTTAAAAAATGCTCAACTAAAAGTCAACTCAGAGTCAACTAATTAGAGTTAATTAACAGCTCTAGATACAAGTCATACATAATACAAATCAAATGATAATGGAGCATTAACTTAATTACTACTAATTATAGTTTATATAAGTCAATAAAAAAAGGTATATAGTAAAATTTAACTCAAATGAATTTTTATTTTATATAAATTCATCATTTAATACATATAACTAGTACATGTGTATATGGCAGCTTCGCCGCTGTGTATAACAGAACAAGGATATTATATGTTGTGATGTATAAATTTTAATTTCTTCAAATTTTATATGTGAAGTGATGGTAGATCATGTGGTCAAAAAGAAAAGTGGCCATACAACTCGCCACAAACACCAGAAACAAGGCAGACATCACACCAAATCCACAATAAGGAAGTTGATTGAAGGTGAGAATCATATGCGAATAATATATGCCAGCAACATGAGGACAATACGACAACAAACAATAGCAGCAGAACAAGGGAGGCATAAATACACTAAACAACAAATGAAGGCTACCTTGGTAACAAGCCTGAAAACAAGAAAGTTTTTTGAAGTAAAAAAAAAATAAATAAATAAATGATCCTAAAGAACCAGCATCAGATATAGATCAGCAGATTAAGAAGTACATTGACAGTGCATATTAAGCAAGCATGGCAGTCCTTATAGAAAAAGTAAAAGAACTGATAAACCAGCAAAATGAAAACCAGAAACATTAGAATGAGCAAATACAAACCACAATAAACGAACATCTTAATAAACTGGAACAAGTTGGATTAATGGGTGGTGAACCAGATCTTAATAACAACCAAGCTACAGAAGAAAAGCAGAGCAATCTCACAATATTTATAACAATATACTCATTTGCAGGAACAAGAAATGACATTATTCAAGATAATTATTCACCCATTTCTACAATCAACAGAAGGATAGTAAATCCAACAACACAAGACACTGCATCTAATGCAGATAATGTACTGTCAATAATAAGACACAAGGCTTACAAATATTAATCAATAGATTACTTATCAATAAAACAGTTTCTGATAATATAAGGATTTTTAAATCTATTTGCTATGAAAGTAGAAGGCAAAAGGTTGTGGTAGATATCAAACTGGTCAGATGGGCAGAAAGTAATTAAGATGTTATCCTGTAAGCCAAGTCTGATATCATGGTTATGAAAATTAATCACATTTGGGTTCTATATAGACCTTCAAGATTTTGCTTACAAAATTATAAACACAAATGCAAAGTTTAATCATAAAGAAGTTCCATTACAAATATCTAAAGAAGGCATTATATCTATTAGAAAACATTCAATATACTGTTACAAAGTAGAATTTAGCATAGTATATTATAAAGTAGTATTAGTAATTATTTATCTGATATATATTTATTATTGTATTTTATATATTATATTATATTTGGGAACGTGTCAGTAGAAAAGGAGTAAAAAGTTTCTAAGTAAAAGTTTTTTAAACTTTGAATTAAAATATTTCAAAAACTACTAAACTAAATTTTAATAATTTTTTTTATATTTTAATTATATGCAGTTATAAAATTAAATAAAAAAAAATTTATTTAATTTAATTTAGTAGTTATTAAACTATTTTAATTTAAAATTTAAAAAAAAAGTGATAAAAACTTTTTACTCCTTTTCTACTGACGAGCTCCTATTTATTATTAGTTATTAGTTAATCGATAATTATATTATATAGTAGATAGATAAAAAGAATCTTAATTGGTTATTAGAAACATGATACAGTCACATGACACTGAGTAACATCTGTAATATTACTATCATTTTATAAACTCTAAGTATCCCTATACAAGTTTCATATATCTTAGCACCAAATTACTGTTTTATATATCATAGCAGAAGAATTCCAAGTATTTCTGACTTGAATCCCAAGTGATTTTGCATAAACCCAAGTATTTCTATACAAATCCCAAGTGTCTTTGCATGAATCTAAGCATCTAAACACAAGCTCCAAGTGTTTCAAACACAAATAACAAATGATATAAACAATATTCTAGTTGTCTCTACACAGTTCTCACTATCCCAAACACAATATCATTTAATATTATTTAAATCTCTATTGTTCTAAATACAATGATATCTAATGTTGTTCGAACCTCCATTACCTCAAGTACAGTATCAAGTAATATTGCTCAAATCTCTACTATTTTTGTTAGTTAAAAAGATATATAAAGAGTACCTTTTTTCTTTTCTTGCTAATTCTAAGTTCTTATACTTCAATCTAAATCTTTCTACCTTTATACTTATAAAAGTGATATTCTTTCTTTAGAATAATTCCTACAGGCAAGATTGTTATTATGTATTTATTTAATAAAAGTTAATCTATATACTGTTATTATCTTGAACTGTTTGCCTACTACTATATAGTAAAGTGAATTACTATACCTTCATCACATATATATTTATAATAGTCAATTACTGTACTGAGTAACCTTATTACTTGGTTATATTGTACCAAGAAGATTACAACCTTTTAACATTTTAGTACCTTCTGACAGAAAGTTAATAATTATCTCAAGAAAGTTAAAAATATCATAAAAAAGAAACATAAATTTTTCTTAAAGAAACTATCTCAGAAAACAATTCTCTCTTTAGAAAGGATTTTATTTTGAAAGTAACAATTGTAAAAAAACATTTTAAAATTTTGAAATTATTATTTTAGATATACTTCTACTAATTCAAATTGAATCAAATTATTTTGCATTTTGTATTTTGTATTTTGGAATTAAAGAAGTTTATGCTTTTATCTTCTATCTTTAAAATTTTGATTTTTGAAATAATTTTGATTTTGATTTTGATTTTGATTTTTGATTTTTGACATTATTTACCAGCCAATAAATATATTTTGAGTTGTTTAAACTTTTAATTAATTACTTGAATTCTTTACTTACTAGCACTATTATTTTAGATTTATTTTTTTGATTTTTATTATTTTATTTTATTATTTTATTACTCATTAGTACTAATTCACAAAAGAGATATGTTTTGGATGTCTTTAGATGATTTACATTATATTTGAAAATGTATATAAAGTTAAGTAGTAAATTAATATAATTAGTATAATAATAAAAATATTAATATAAAATAATGCAAATGAATCTAAATAAGAGATATTGTAAGATTATAAATTATACAAACTTTAAGTAACAAAATTAAATATGCTGATAAATAAAAGACCTTCATACTTACTAAATATTGTTTAGAATTGCAATATTATTAGGTCTTATTAAGTGCTGCATTAATGTTGAATAGTAAATTGAACAAAACAAAAAAAATAAGCATTATAATAAAAATATTATATAAATAAAATCAAATGAAAAAGATTTGTAATAGTAAACTCTAAAAATAAAATACAAAATTAAATATAAAAGATCTTTAATAAAAAGAATTTATAATGATAAATTCTGTAAATTAAATAGCAAAAGTAAATATATTAATCATTAAAAGTTTCTATACTTATTAACAAAATTAATACAAATAAATTAGAGTACTCTTAAGCACCTAATTAATAGATTGAAGTCCAAGTTTTAATTAGTAAAAAATAATTTAAATAGTCAAGTAAGCTTATTAACTTTAAATACACAATTGATAAAAAAATTTTTTTTTCTTTTTTTTTTTAGTATTAAGGTGATCTCTTTGGTCCAAGCTTTTTATTAATACTTATAACGGGTACATGTTTTATATAGACATATCTATAATGAACTATTAGACAAGTGTACAACTGGTTATACATGTAACTTTTCTATATTACATATTTAAGGAGTCTGCCCGAGGGTTCCTCACTAGTTGCTATACCTAACACCCCTGCTTAGATGTTCCATTTAAACTCTATGATCTAACTCTAGTATTAATTTCACTAGGTCACAGACCCAGATCTATTCGCATTCAACTATAGGACTATAATTCTTAGACTATTTTTATCCTCGAGGTAAACCTACCAAAGTGAGCTGTATTCCCTTTTACCACTAACCTGGTTTGATGCTATGACTGGGGCCAATACTTGCAGTTAGGGTTACCCTTTAAACCGCTATTACTCTTGTAAAATTCACCCAAACTCTAGTACCCATCTTTCCGACTTCTTCTCTATCATCCCCTACTAGCCACAACTCGGAACCAAAAATGGACTTCCCCAGACTCCCAATCCTTATAGCCCAGTATAGTATACTTATGTATTCTTTTCTTCTGACGATTCCGACAACCTGGTTGGTCATATGCTCCTCTACATATCTTTGTCATCCGGTTTATCCAACAGTTCCTATGAAGGTGTTTCATAAGCTTCCATCAGTTCAATAGCACCATCAAAAGTTTGTGCTACCTCTTTACTTGGAATTTCCATGAGAGTTTCCATCTTTTTGGTTTCTTAGCCTTCTACACCTGGTGGTCTTATCATGGGTTTGCCCAAAGCCTTATACAACACCAGTTTTAAATTCCTCTATATACATATACCGTATAACATTACACTTTGCATAGATGCCCCAAGCTCCTAATGTTAGGTGGGGCCCGACTTGGTGTACCTAAGATTACAGATGCCCAAAACCCAACTGATCGCAAGAAACAGTTACCATAACACAGGTATAATTTCCAAAATTCGTTATTTATGGAAATTGAACTTTAGACCTGCCACTTGAGGGATGACAGCCTATCTACTTCACTAGGTCGCCACACCTATTAATAAAAAATTATATATTTATACATAAATAAATCTAATTAAATATGATAGTAAAGTATTATTAAACTGTAATTATAAAGAAATTGCAATATTAAGAATTACAGAAACAAATATTTTTGAAAGAGAAGGAAAATTTTTAGTATATGCGGCAAACAAAAAGTATATAGGATATTGGACAAATGCAGCGGAGGACAAGAAAAAAGGGTCAGGTGTAGGAATCCTAATAGAAGAACAATGGGAAAAGCATGTGGATGCTGTCAAAAGGGTAAATGAATACATGATAGAGATTACGCTATACTTCAAGCAATTGGAGCTAGTGGTAATAGGAATTTATATACCACCAAGTGACAAAATGATGGGAAGATTCA